AGCACTAGTTTACATTTTACATCGAATAAGGCAAAATTAAAAATAAACGAATAAAAAGTGCGCACACGAAAGAAAGATCTCACTAGTGTACATAATAATTACTATATTAAAAAAAAATCTACATTTTTTTGTAGAAAAATTAATCTTTTATGTTATTTTTTTATACAGAATTGAATTTGTTATCTTTTTTTAATGTAATAAACAATATTGATTTGTTATAAACCAAAAAAATATGAATTTATTTATAAATTATATGCTGCCGATTTTTAAAAATACAAATGCCGATTATGCCGATTTTTTTCTGAAAAATTGACGATTTTTCATGAAATTTAACTGGCAGCACTGTTCTACAGCACTAATGCACAAAATAGTACGATAGCGGTGATGGCTAACCATGTATTCTCTTTCTTTCTCTTTACGTCAGTCGTTTTTGTTGATGTTCTCTCAGTTCCGCTCCCACACATTTACTCTTTATTTAATTCTGTTCAACTCTGTTCTACAGGCATCCAGAGAGAGAGAGAGAACGCAATGAAATTCCAAAGTTTGGATTCCAAACAAACAAGGATCAACAAATATGCCTAGCACACCACTCTCTTGGTGTGTATTCAAAACAGAAGAGAGTTCTCTCTCTCTCTTCGTTTGCCCATCCCTTGTCTCTTCCTGTGCTCTACCGGCTAGGTAGAGAAAATAAGCGGACTAATGGAGCGTCTTTAGTTGAGCGATAACAAGCAAGCGATATGGATGTGCGACGCCTGATCAACGAAGTACGTTCACGACCGGTTTTGTGGGATGCCAACCATGTGAAATACAAATGTCATGCAACAATAACAAAACAGTGGAAGGATATCGCCAAAGCACTTCAAATTGCTAATGGTGAGTAGATAAAGGATAATTTTAGTATTACAACGTAAATGTTAACAATTATTTATTCTCATATTTTTTAGTTGACGAATGCCGGCGAAAATGGAAAAATTTACGTGACACTTATCGCGCCTGTCTCAACAATGCCGAACGTCAAAAAGAGAAATCCAAATCGTTAGGTGTATATGAACCCAATAAAACTTATATTAGTAATTGGGTCTATTTGAATGAAATGAGTTTTATTAGAGAATTTGTTCGTTTGAAAAAATCTGCTAATGACGGTGTTTCGGACAAAGATGCCAGGTCCAAAAATAATTCTTCCAGTAATAGTATGGATGCGGAGAATGTTATGACAGATGATGGAATGTATTCTATAAAAGAAGTCGATTTTGATTTGGATGACAGCGATAATTTACATGAGTTGTTAGCTATAAAACAAGAATTTGAAGACACTACCACGAATTTAATAGACGAAAGTAATACCTCGCGAGAAACAAATACAACAATGTATAGTGACATTGAAAATTGTCTACCTACTTTTCAAGAAATTAAAACAGCAACAACAACAACGCCGCCAGCTAGTAAAAGCATACAAAAAGGTCTAACTACCTTTAATTTACCAGCTGCAATACAAGTCAAAATTGTACCAAAAAATTCCTGTGCTAATCAACCACCGTCGTCACCACTGACGGATAATACCAACAAAAACGAATCAGCTGCAGCGCTCTCACAACAACACGATCAGCAACAACAGCAGCAGCGAATTCATTTCCTTAAGAACCTTGAAAAGGAGGAAGAGAAACTAATAAAATGCACACAAGATGATATGAGTTCGACTGCGTCCACCCCTCATCATGGCGCCGAAGATCCTGATCGCAATTTTCTCATGAGTTTTTTGCCACACATGAAAAGAATGGATGATTTGCAAAATTTACAATTCCGCTCGCAAATGTCACAATTGATATTGAATATTTTTATACCACCATCAACAACAAATGGCGTTGCAGCCGGTAACCAAACACTACCAACGCTAACACCAAATCCACACTTGGTCAGTCGTACAAATCGTAGATAAGGGAACAAATTATCAATTAAGAATATTGTTAGACTAAAATTTTAGTTATTTAAGAATCTTTTTTACTTTACTATTGTCACATTGTAAATATAGAACGACTGACATATCTTTAAAACATAAAATAAATGAAAAACTTAAAACATTGAAGAATTTGGTCATAATTAGTATTCACACAAAAAATATAACAGCATATCCATTAATGTTATGACATATCCACCATGTAATGGTCCAATCCATTTTTTAATATTATGATTAGGGATAAGTAAATCGATTAATCGACTTTTTGTATTGAAAAGTCTAAAAGTCGAAGTAAACTTTGATCTTTGACAAATTCGCAAAATCGACTTCTTCACAAATGCTTGGTTTATTCTCTTGAAAACCACATTTCCCAAAAATTACACGTTCCAGAACTGTCTGTTATCTGTTGACAACAATTCATTTAATAAAAAATCAAATTTTGTGTTTCATAAATATTACTTGGAAATTTTTTAAAATTTTTTTTTTTTCAAAATTTTATTTGAATATACAAAACATATATTCTTATTTCTGGTAAATCAGATTTTTATTAGTTATGGTCTTTGGTCTTAATTTACCATACGCGTCCCCACAATCGACACTAACAAATTATTGTGGTAACACTTTTTTTCTATTAATCAACAACAAGTATACACCGAGAGTTGATAAAAACTCGTGGAACGTATTCTCTTCGTACGTATTCTTGTCTCGCCAACTTCGTTGTCTAAATGTCTGTGTGGGCATATACAACGAATAACAATAACGAATTGGCTTTAGTTGAGCGAAACATGTCGAACGAAATAGATGCTAAGCAGTTGATTTACGAAGTACGCATCAGGCCTGCATTGTGGGATTTAAAACACGTTCACAACAAATCATATAAAACGGTCGGCAAGCAGTGGAAAGAAGTGGCAACAGCTCTTGGCGTCGAAGATGGTAAGTACACAAACAACAAAGACTTATTCGTTAAAATTTGAAAGGTTAAGTTCACAAAAAAAAGACACACAAAAACATACAAACAATATCACCATTATCTGGTATACACAACTGAAATCAACAACAACAACAATACGTTATGAATTCGCTCTGTTTCTCTCTTTCTCTTTTCATATCGCTGTTTTAATGGCTACAACTTGTTTGCTGTGTTATGGTTGTATTGTTGTTCTTTCGATCACGCTACACCCGGTTCAGTTGAGCAATGTCGGCGCAAATGGAAAAATTTGCGAGATGCTTATCGCGCCTTAGTGAGACGTTCAGAAATTCGCAAACAAACCGATAAAAACATGGGTGTTTATGATCCACAAATTGATTACGATAGCAAATGGATTTACTACAAGGATCTACACTTTATACGAGACAATAAACGTAAACGTCGAAGTCGCCGTGAATTAAATGCCGAACAAAATGACGGATTACAAAATGATCTTAATGAATCACAATTAAATGACGTTTCGGAAATTAAAATTGAGCCCACACAAATTGCAGAAGATGGAATATATTCGGCTGAAGAATTTACCGATTATCATGATGACAATGAAACGGATGAACATTATGATGGAATAGAAATTGAGGATGATGATGAAGATGATTTTGATAATTTGGATATTTTACCAGAAGAGTTTCAAAGTATATCGTTGCCGGAACAAGAATTTAGGGATATACCCACATCAAGACCGCTTATTCCCGATCCCAGAGAACATACAAATATGACTGATATTAACGTTGGTACAACAAAAAATCCGACCACCCATCAGACGACCAGTGCTAATAATAATAGCACCACCAAAAATTGTAAATGCGGCTCGAGGAGTGAACAAAATGTCCATTTCTTGGAAAATCTTGAACAAGAAGAACACAATCTAATGAAATCCACACAAGATGATATGAAGCGTGCTACAAATCATATTGGCGATTCTGATTATAATTTCTTGGTTAGTTTTCTGCCACAAATGAAGAAAATGAACGATTTCCAAAATCTACAATTTCGTGCGCGCATGAGTGATTTGATGTTGAACATTTTGGTGCCGACGACGGCAGGGCATGTATCTAATACTCGAATGTCAATAGCCGAACATAATTATTTGTATAATCATGAAATGAATGAAAATAATAACACCGTCTTAAATGCAGCTACTTCCACCAGTTCTAATTATTTTTCATAATGTTTAATATTGTATGCGGATATTATTTTTGTTTTTAATAAAATATTCAATACTTATTGAAATGTAATCGTTTATTTGAATATTTCAACCGGGATGAACACATTTGTAGGTATAAATCTACCCCAGTCAATATTTTATGACAATTTTAATCATAAACGAGCCCTTTACAACGCCTCACAGCTATTAAATCAATCGAAGTTTTGACTTAACTGCACAAACAACACTTGTAATTATTTCTGAAATCACAGCATAAAAATTACACCATTTTTAAACTTTCGATATTATCTGTATATCTAAATTCAAAAAAATTAAAGTAATGATCTTTAATGTGCAGTTTTGAATTGTGCACTTAAACAAAAAATTCTGTGCACTTAAAATAAATTCTGAGAATATTTGAAAATGTACTAATAGTCCCACGAACAATGGAAATACCGTTGTAAGGGAGGCTAAATCAAACCATTGATCGATATATATCATCAATACCATTATAGGAGTGATAACAAATTTTTAATGTTCAATATTGCCAACTTAATTGGGGTTTCAACAGACGTACGAACATTTTGAAACCGACCCGCTATTAAAATCTACAGGTATTTAATAATTTGTTCACTGTTTCATTCTGATCATCTTTATTATACTGGTAGTCACGACGATTGTTGCGAGGTGTTGCTAACGGAATAACCAAATTAGTATAGCATCTATTATAAGGTAGTGTGCATAACTAAGGGTAGAGAACTATGAGAAATAACAGTGGAAGGTATTCTCTCCCTCTCAGTGTGTGTGTATGTCATACGACAGTTAGTTATTCGCCGTGTTTATTTTTGTTTTGCATTTGTCGGTACATATCAACGAACAACGATAACGATTTGACATTAGTTTAATAAGAAATGTGGAACGACACAGAAGTCAGGCGCCTAATCGATGAAGTACGTATTCGACCGGTTTTATGGGATGTACAACGTAGACACTCGTCTAAAATAACTGAAAAACAATGGAAGGAAGCAGCAGAGGCTGTGGGGGTTGATGGTAAGTTGTACACACATAACAAAATTGCCGATATTCGTTATCTGTATTGAAGACAAACTTGTATACAGCATATTGACACGAACAGCCAAGCAAAGTGTAAATCAATTCGCCTCATTTTTTCTTTTTTGTGGTGTGGATAATTGTGTGTGTGAATGCTTGTTATGGCATGACTGTTTCTCTCAACTCGTGTGTGTTTGTTTGGTGGCGCTACACTTCGTTTAGTCCGCCAATGTCGACGCAAATGGGGAAACTTACGAGATACCTATCGTGCTTTGTTGAGACGCTATGAAAATCGCATAAAACGAGATAAGGTCTTGGGTGTTTATAACCCCAAAATTCAATATGAAATTAAATGGACTTACTATAAAGAACTAAGCTTTATCAGGAACAATAAACGTACACGCTGTGGTCGTCAGAAAATACATCGAGCCCAGCACACCAATTCACAAGACAGTTTCAATGAATCGCAATCAAATGGTGAACTACAAGCAACTGAAGAACGTGATGATTATGAAATTTTCTCGGCAGGTGATTATCGTGAAATGGAAGGTGGTCATTATGAGGAGTATGAGGAATTTGACGACGATGATGATGATGGTAATGACCAAATATCAACGGAACAATTTAAAAATTTATTCATACCTGAAGACGAATTTAGACGGAGTATATCAGCGACACCAAAATCAGTTTCTAGCAATACTGCAAAACGAACAGCTGAAAGCATTAGAATCAATACGGCTATGAACAACGAAACCTCCACTCAGACGGGCACTACCAGTAATGCCAACAAAAAGGATTGCAATTGTTCGTCACAAAATGAAAATCTGCTCAAAGATATTCACAATGTTCTAAAACTGATACAACAACAAATGTCAACGACTACAAATCAAAGCCAGGATCCTGATTATAATTTTCTTGTCAGTTTCTTGCCACAAGTGAAACAAATGAACGATTTCCAAAAGATACAATTTCGTGCACGCATGAGTGATTTGGTATTGAATATTTTAATGTCCACAATGCCAACCGAAATGCCATTTCCAGAAACACCAAGAAACGAGGCTGGCGAACTTCGGGACAATTACCAGCCGAGTTCATTTGAAAATGCCAACAGTGATGATGAGGATAACAAAGACGATGTGTTTGCAGCTACCTCTACTAGTTCCAGGTCATTCTCATAAGAGAAGTCAACCACACTTGTTAATAGATTAAGGAATACCTGCCATTAGACTCGATTATCGCTTAAAGGCCGGATAAAAATAATTTTGAATTAGTTTTTTCTAAAATTTCATATTTAACATTTTTGTAATAAAACCTTGAACTTCTAAAAAGGACACTTTATTTAACAAAAGATTCGGTGTGGTAAACATCGCTGCTCATAAATGTGATTACCCAGGATTTTCAGCTGTTTTCCAGTAAATTTTTTATTAATCGCCTTTTATATGGAGCAGTCGCAGTCGACTTTTAATCATATCGTACCACTCTCACCAAAATTAAATGAAGATTGAACATGGATGCAGTCGGTCCGCTCCTTCTGGGCCAACATTTTGAAACTTCCTAGTAGGGTTACATAAAGTCCGACTCCGCTGAATTCGACGTTATGTTAGTGGGTGTTAAATAACTGCATGTAAGCATTAATAGCCACGCATTTCTTCAATTCTATATTTACTGCCATGCCCAACAGACATTCTGCCATCTCTGGTCAATGACTTTTTGGTATTTCGTTACAACACGAACGAAACACACAAACAAACAACTGTTGAAACATTTAATGAGGGCGAGAGAGAATACGAGAGTATTTCGCCGTCTTTCGTCGTATTTTGTTTTCCCTATAACACACATTTTCGTTTTGGTTTTCGTTTATGTTGTGCCACCACAACACACCGCCTCACAACATTGTTCGTCGTATCTGTATGTATATACGAGAATGCAACTTGCAGATGTAAGTTCAGTTCAAGGAAAAATATCAAACGCAATGGATGTACCGCGTTTAATTGATGAAGTTCGAACCCGGCCCGCTCTATGGGATACCAGAAACGTGACGAATAAATGGCGTTATTCGATACCGGAATTGTGGAAGGAAGTCTCCACAGCTATTGGCAGCGATGGTAAGTGGTTGATGATAATATTTGTATATTTATGTCTATACTAAAACCATAATATATAGTATGCAGTATATGGGTAATTCCATAATACAATAAATTATGAAAAAAAAAATGATTAATAAGTACAGAAAAAGAACACTAATAAACAAAATGTTTTTGGGACATTGGAAGTTGTAATAAGAAGGCAGTCGTAAATTGGCAGCCCTCATTGCCGATTCTCGCCACGTGAAGTGTATATTGAATTTATTATTTCCTCCTAATATTCGTTGTTCCTATAAATTATATAGATACATATATTCTTCACATACATTGTATTTCCAGATTATAAAATACTTCCCCGCAAAAAAAATCAATGGGTCCCGAAAAATTTTAAGTATTTTTTGAGGTTTACACTCGAATTTGTGAATCGAAAATACTTCAATATAGGATTTTAGGTTTATTAAAGTAGCTATCGGTTTAGACATAATCTCTTTATAAAGGTTCCGTTCTATTGGATTTTCAAGACTATACGAATTTTCAACTGAACTTGAATTTGGTACTTCAGTTCCTCGTGGAATAAAATGCTTTCAATATATTTTCATCGGTCATTCCAGAATTCATCGGAAATTGTATTCCTTGCCATGTTCAACATAGTGAAGTATATGGAACAGAGCAGATTAAATAACATAGAACAGAACAGAAAAATAACATAGAACAGATTAAAATAACAACCGAACATTATTGAATCATGCGGGAGTTACATTCTTCAGCAGTCTTCAATCTATTTAGTGAGTGCCCTATAAACACGTTGCATCATTGAAGACTCATAAGATTCTATGTAGCGTCAAATGTTCGGCAAACTATACTTCTTTGTCTGCTTGCCTAGACGTGACATCCCTCTGGCTACGTCGGTGGTTTGATATATGGTCTATCAACTTCGAGAATAATGAATTGATATTGATGTATTTCTTTCGAAGGGGGCGAACAATTGAAAAATGACCTTCTATAACAAATATATCATTTTATCTCAATGACTACTTTTTTATGGAGTTACCATATACCGACTATCCTTTCAGCTTAAAAAATATATATTTGTTGCTGTTATTTTTTTATACACATTTGCCTAACACCACACACTGCTATACATTTGATGTTTTTTTCTTTTTGCTCATCTCTTTTTCATACCTCGGTCATTGCATGGATGCCTTACTGCCTGCACTCTTTTGCTTGTTTTTATATATGTATTTCGCCCAATTGTTGTTGTACATAAAATTTGCCTTTGCTTCATTTCGCCTCCATTTCTCGTTGTGGCTGTTTTTGTTGACATCGTCGCCGCTGTTGAGTACAGTCGAACAATGCAAGCGTAAATGGAAGAATTTACGCGACGCTTATCGTGCAGAGGTTCGGCGTTCCGAACGTCGTATGGAGAGAGACAAACTAACGGGAGAGTATGATCCGAATGCCAACTACAACAGTAAATGGGTGTACTTTGAGCCGATGAGTTTCATTAACGATTGTAAGCGTCCGCATTATTCATCGGCTGGGGAACACGAAAACACAAGTTCCAATGACGAAGAGGCAACAGGCGATGACATGCAATTTCAAATGGATTCCACAACTCGAAATCGGTTAAATGAAAATGCTGTACATCGTGCTGGCGGCGAGTATGACGATAATAATGCGAGTGGAATTGCCATTATTGGTGGTGGCAACGACGATGATGATGACGATGCCGTCAACGATATGTTATTTGAAGAATTTCAAAGTATTGCCACTCCTCAGGCTGCCAGACGTCTATCAGCCACACTGTCGCTCACCAATTCTCTAGAACAAAATCTCTCGAATAGTTCTGTGGAAAACCCAACGAATTTACGTAAACACCATCCACCGTCCAGAGTTGATGCGGAACCACGAGACTGTAAATGTCCACCCAAAGGACGTAGTGAGGATCGAGTTCATTTCCTCGAAGATCTTGAAAAAGAAGAACAAAAACTTATCAAATCGACCAAACGTGATATTAGTCGGGCCATGACACATATCGGAGATTCGGATTATAATTTCTTGGTTAGTTTTTTGCCACACATGAAGAAAATGACAGATTTACAAAATTTGCAATTTCGTGGACGTATGTGTGATTTGGTGTTGAGTACCCTGGCACCAAATATATCGCGACATAACTCTCCAGCACCGCCACCATTAACACCTGCACCCAGTGTTGTGAAAGTGGAATGTGGTAATAGTAATACCACTACAGTACAACCAGAATCTACAACAAACCAGAGAAGAATTCAAACAGCGAACTTGACAATGATCTTGAGTTCTTTTAAAATTTAATATTGGAGTTGTATATATTTTAAGGGGAACCGAAATTTGGATTTCTAAATTTCTTATGACAAAGGATAATATTTAGCATTTACATTTTATTTAATATGATTTTAATATAATTTATCGAAAGACCACAAAATTATGTATAGGCATTTTTAAAAAAAGAATTACAAATTCAATTTTTTTTGTCTGGATCTCGCCCAAAAAAGAAACATATTAAATGAAAAATAAATATATGATAACGTCTTAATTGAAATCATTTGATTCGAAGTCACTTTCTTGGAAAGTAATGTTGGTAAGTACATGCTACGATTTCTTCAAAAACAGTTTTTAAAATGTTTTAATTTTTGGTGAATTGGGGCACATTCGGCACTTTTCTAGAGATATAAATCTCAATACTTATTCAACAGATATAAAAACATTATGACTGTTTATTATCCTAAAATATAGTTTCTCTCGCCAGACTTTCTAGATTGAGTTCGTATTGTAAAAACATTATCCCTTCTTCTTGTATGTTCTCATTTCCTGTACACACAAAATTACATAGCTTACTCGCTTCAGTTTTTTTTTTTTGCAACCAGTTTAGAACAGAAACTTCATCGTTTATAATTTCCAATGTGGTGCAACAATAACAACAAAATCGTAAGCACAATATACTGAGAGAACGCATTTATATTCGAGGAGAATGGATTACATTTGCTCTCTACCATCTACATTGAATTCGCTGTGCTGGTACATTTATTGTTCTCTGTAGGTAGACGACGAACAGCAGTAACGATGGCACATTAGTTGAACGAAAAATGTCGAACGAAATAGATGCCAAACGTTTGATTCACGAAGTACGCGTAAGACCAGCTTTATGGGATTTAAATCACGAGGACAACAAATCGTATAACGAAATTGGTAGACAATGGAAAGAAGTAGCTGCAGTTCTTGGCGTTGAAGATGGTGAGTAAAAGAAAAATCCAAAACATAAACTTATTTTGTTTTTCGTTACCTGAGTAGATGCGTCGTTGTTTATCAACAACGACGGTTACAATAACAACAAATATGTATGCATGTATATACGTACATTAAATGACAACGTTTGTATTCTCTCTTCTCTTTTTTGTGCTGTTCGTCTTTCGTATCGTTTGTTTTGCTATGGACAATACAATTGGTTGTATGTTGGGTATCTCTGGTGCATGTGTGCGATGATGTTATGGCTACGCTACAATCGGTGGTTGAACAACAGTTGAACAATGCCGACGTAAATGGAAGAATTTACGCGACTCTTATCGTGCTTTGGTTAAACGTTGCGAGCAACGTAAAGCTCGTGACTTGCGGATGGGCATCAATGATCCTAACATAGATTACGAAAGTAAATGGGTATATTTTAAAGATATCAGCTTTATAAGAGACAAGAAGCGTAAACGTCGTAGCCGCATTGAAATTGAACAGGATCAGAATACCAATTCAACAGATGATTTTGAAGAATCTCATGCCATTTCCGAAATAAAAGTGGAGCCCACACGTATTGGAGACGATGAAATATATTCAATAGAGGAATTCGAAGATGACGACTGTGTAATGGATGGAGATATGGCTGATGTAGAATTTGAAGATATTCAAAAACAAAATAATGATTATCATAGGCCAATGTTGAACGAACAACATCTCCAACGTATACCAGCTACAATATCTGTCATCAGTGTACCACAGAGTGAAGCTACAAAAATAACTAATAATATACCAAAGGCATCGTTAAAGCCTCGAATGTCATCATTGTCTAG